TTAGGTGTTAGTCTTGGTTTCTCTTTTCTTTTACATCCCACCTCTAGTCTGACAGCATGTCCAATTTGACTGTCATTTTAACCTCAACATTTATCTGGAATCTGAGTGATCTTCTTACCTCAAAAACTCTTGCCCTAGTCCAGGCTACTATCTATCATCTCTCTGAAATAACAGCATTTCTGATTCTTGAAATAGCCTCCTGCCTAATCTCCCTGCTTTTTTTTTTTTTTTTTTTCCACATCTTTATTGTTGGATGTAAAATGTATTACAGATGTTCCACATTTTTCCCCCATTGACCCCCTCCTCCCCACTCCCGCCCCCCCCTCCCACCTTTTCCCAAACTATTGTCCGTGTCCATTGGTTATGCATATATGTTCTTTGGTTTATCTCTTCCCACCCCCCCCCCAACCCCTTTCCCTTTGAGGTTTGTCAGTCTAGCAATGAATTTGTGCTTCTTAATCCCTTCACCTTTTTCACCCATTCCCCCAACCCCCTTCCCAACTGGCAACCAACAAAATGTTCTCTGTATCTATGAGAATGTTCCTGTTCTTCCTGTTCATTTTGTTTGTAGATTCCATTGTTGATAGATATGTATTCATTGCCATTTTGTTTGTTCATACATTTTATCTTTTTCTTTAAAAAGACCCTTCATCATTTCATATAATAACGGTTTGGTAGTGATGAACTCCTTTAACTTTTTCTTGTCTAGGAAAGTTTTTATATGGCCATCGATTCTAAATGACAGCTTTGCAGGATAGAGTAATCTTGGTTGTAGGTTCTTGGTTTTCATCACTCTGAATATTTCTTGCCACTCCCTTCTGGCCTGCAAAGTTTCTTTTGAGAAATCAGCTGACAGCCTAATGGGAACTCCCTTGTAGGTAACTAGCTGCCTTTCTCTTGCTGCTTTTAAGATTCTCTCTTTGTCTTGAACCTTTTGCATTTTGATGATGATGTGTCTTGGTGTGGGCCTCTTGGGGTTCATCTTGTTTGGGACTCGCTGTGCTTCCTGGACTTGTATGTCTGTTTCCTTCACCAAGTTAGGAAAGTTTTCTGCCATTATTGTTTCAAACAGGTTTTCGATTTCTTGTTCTCGCTCTTCTCCTTCTGGCGCCCCCAAGATGCGAATGTTGGCACGCTTGAGGTTGTCCCAGAGGCTCCTTACACTATCCTCATTTTTTTGGATTCTTTTTTCTTTTTGCTGTTCTGATTGGGCGTTTTTTGCTTCCTTATATTCCAAATCGATGGTTTGCTCCTTGGGTTTACATACTCTATTATTGAAGCTATGTAAATTATTCTTTATTTCAGTTAAAGCCTCCTTCGTTTCTAACTGTGCAGCGATCATTTCTGACTGGTCCTTTTTTATGCTTTTGAGGCCCTCACTGAGTTCATTGAGCATCCTTATAAGCAGTATTTTGAACTCAGCATCTGTTAGGTTGCTTATCTCCATTTCGCTTAGTTCTTTTCTTGGGGTTTTGTTCTGTTCTTTCGTTTGGGACCTGTTTCTTTGTATCCTCATTTTGGCTGCCTCCCTGTGTTTGTTTCTGTGTATTACTTAATGGGAGGTATGGGGCTCGCTGAGACCCGATGCTGCTCGTTTGAAAGAATTTAGGAAAAATCTGAAGCAGGATCCAAGACAAGCCGATCCTATGGTTAAGCAAGTGGCAACAGCTTGGGTGGGCCTGAAAATTGTGTGGGTTGGGGCGGGGCCTCAGGGAGTCAGCAGGGCGGGGCTACCAGTGTGAGCCAGGTTGCTGGAGTCCCAGATATGGCGACTGTCTGCCGCCCTAGGGAAGGGCTCACCAAAGGAACAATGGCCTCTTACAGCACGTTTGTCCCCGAGGAAGCCCCCACTCCAGCCCTCGCTCCAGTGCCAAACAGCTCAGTTCTTCCCTGTATGTCTCTGGTGCCCCTTGAGCTGCCTCCCCTCCAAGCTTAGAGGGAGAGAGTCCGATAAGTCCGTGCGCGGGCCCTTTAAGGAGCTGCCTGGGGCTCCAGCCACCTCAGCTTCCCTGAGCCCCAGTTTCCGCTGGTTTTTCCCGCCAGAAGTTATGGGGACTTCTCTTCCTGGCACTGGAAACCTGAGCGGGGCACCTGGTGTGGGACGGGGACCCCTCAGTCCTCAGGAAGGACCTTCCCAGCCACGGAAGCCTCCTGATTTTTATCCACCACACTTGGGTGTGGGACCAGCCCTTCGCGCCACTGCCCCCGCACCGCCGCCCCTCCTACCAGTCTGGATGTAGCTGCTTTTTTTTTTTTTTTTTTTAATTCCGTAGTTGTAGGACTTCCATTCAGCTTGATTTCAGGCAGTTTTGGATGATGGTTGTTCTGTAGTTTTGTTGTAACTTGGATGTGGTTGTGGGCAGACGCGATACTGCGTTTCCCTACGCCGCCATCTTGACCCTAATCTCCCTGCTTTTTGTCCTCTAACTCCCTCTACTCATTTGTCTGTTCCTAAAACTACAACCCAGATGGATCCTTTTAAAACAAGTCAGATCATGTCTCTGTTTTCCCAAAACTAATTGCTTTCCAACTCACAACATAAAAATAAAAATCCTTACAATGACCAAAAAGGTTCTATACCGGCGCTGTGCAGTGGAAAAACAACGCAGGCCACACATGTAATTTAAAATTTTCTAGTAACTATGCTGTAAAAGTAAAAAGAAGAATAGAAGATATTAATTTTAATATGTTTATTTAAACAAATATATCAAAATAGTACTCTACATGTAATTGATGTAAGGAATTATTGATGAATTATTTTGCTTTTTTATAGCATGTCTTCAAAATCCGGTGTGTATTTTACACAATTTAGATATTGAATTTTTGTTGTTGTTAATCCTCACCTAAGGATATTTTCTCAGTGATTTTATTTTTTAAGATGAGGGAGGGAGGGAGGGAGAGAGAGAAACATCGATGTAAGAGATACATCCATCAGTTGCCCCCCGCACAACCTTGGCCTGGACTGGGGATCAAACCCAAAACCGAGGCACATGCTCTTGATCGAGAATTGATCCCAAAACCCTTAGGTCCTTGGGCCGATCCTCTAACCACTGAGCCAAACCAACCAGGGCTGGATATTGAATTTTTTTAATTTTTTTTTTATTGATTTTAGAGAGGAAGGGAGAGGGAGAGAGAGATAGAAACATTGATGAAAAAGAACATTGATCGACCGCTTCCTGTATGACTTCCACTAGGGGTTGTGCCCACAACTTGGGCATGTGTCCTGATCGAGAATCAATCCAGCGACCTCTTGGTGCATGGGTCGATGCTCAACCACTGAGCCACACCAGCCGGACTGGATATTGAATTTTGATTGGGAATACTTGTTTGGTATTTAGGTTTCATAATATTTATAGTTGAAAACGTAGATTTACATATCCAAGTAGTTCTAAACACTCTTAAAAGTTTTCTAATAACTGAATCCTGTGTTGGTTTTGTGTTCGTTTGTTTTTTAGAACAACACACACCTTTTTTACATCAGCTAAGATAGGCCGCAGGAGGATTATTTTTTGCATTCCGGGCATTGATTTTCCTTAGATAGAACTCCAGCTCCTTGCCCTCTAGCACATAGCCATCTGCTTGGCCACATTGGCCTGGTCTTGAAGCAGTGCATGCAAGAAACTTGCCTGCTGGAGCTGTTCCTTAAGAATTTTGCTGATTTTGGCATTCTTTTGCCTTTCATCGTATTTCATCTGAATTTTCTTTGTGTTTTGTTTAAAATCTCTTCCTCCTCAGGATCTTAGCTTGACCTCCTTCTTGTGGTCCAGGGGCAGTGCATAGTGGGACTCACACCACTGTAGGTAGGGTGTAATGTCACTGAGCACAAGGTGGTTCTTTACTCAGGGCTAGGTGTGGACCATTTTGTTGTTGGATTTACTGCAGACAACATCAGTAATCATTGTTTTGTGCGTACAATATTCTGAGCCCCAGGAGATGTTGCCCAGCATCATGGCAGGGTACTTCTTACTGTCTCCCCTCACACGAACTGTGTGTATGCAGCGGGGGCCAGTTTTGGTGTTGGCAGCAGGGCATCCCAGCTTATATTTTGCTTCTTGTGGTAGGGCTTTCTCTCAGCCCCGGTCTTGTGGTTCTTGTGCCAGTTGTCCCAAGAGATGCCCATGACTCAGTGCCACCTGGAAAGAGCCAGTGTTGGTTTTTAAATTTAACTTTTAATTAATTAAAGTTAAAAAATTTTAAGTTCAGTTCCTAGCCACATTTCAAACACTCAAAAGCCATATGAGGCCTGTGGTGATTGTATTGGACAACACAGCTCTTTACCATCTGGCCCTTCTTCTCTGACCTGTCTCCTATTGCTTTCTCCTTTGCTCATCCAAACAGCCTCCTGTTGTTTGAGCCCAGCAGACACTTCCCCTTTCAGAGCCTTTGCATTTGCTGTTCTTTTTGCCTACAAAGCTTTGGTCCAGATAGCTGCATGACTTACTCCTCTACCTTCTTCAGGTCTTTGTTCAGATGTTACCTCTTTTTTTTTTTTTCAAATTAAAAGAAAAGTTTATTTAGAAAGTTACAGAGGTGTTTAAAAGTGAGCCATATGGCCGGTTTGGCTCAGCGGTTAGAGCGTCGGCCATGGACCAAAGAGTCACAGGTTCAGTTCCAGTCAAGGGCATGTACCTCAGTTGCAGTTTGGTCCCCGGCCCTGACTGGAGTCCTGCGGAAGGCAACCAATCAATTTCTCTCTCTCTTTCTCTCTCTCTCTCGCTCCCACTCTTATCTGAAAAATCAATGGAAAAATATCCTCGGGTGAGGATTAAAAAAATAAATAAATAAAAGTGAGCCATAGAAGAAATGGACTAAGGAAACAAGTTACAGAGGCAAAAGAAGGGCCCTTGGAGACAGAGGGAGAAAGGAAGGGTGGGGGAAGGGAAGAAGAAGAGGGACACTTAAATGTTACCTTTTTAGAGAACATTTTCCTGACCAACCTATTTAATATCTGTACCAATTGCCTTCTCTCTCAAATTCTTTACGTTTCCAGGCTGCCTTTTGAAAGAAGAGAAAAGAGGGCTGAGAGGGGAAAGATGACCTGATCTACAAGGAAAGCAATTAAATAATAGGAATTGTCCCATACAGACAGACAGGTGAATGAATATGTTAGGTGAAAGCACCAAGTAAAATAAGTGAATAAGTGACTCTATTCCCTCAGCGTGCTCATACCTAGGCAGCTCAGAGGATTATTTTTTGTGTACATGACTGACCTTCTTATAGAGTATAAGCTCCTTAAATGCAAGACTCTGCCATAGTATTCTCTTCTACCTTCTTTGACACCAAGCATTGAACTTAAATCTGAACTCTGCAATTATGGGTCACCTCTTGGTTAAACTTTTGTGTTTTACATTCTGTGGTCACTCTCTACCCTCTTTTCTTTTTCAGTGCCAGCTCCTGGTATACTTGCTGATAGTACATGGGTATTGGCTTCACATGTCCTATGGTTGTGATTATGACAGATTCTTTCTTTCCTTGCCCATTCTTGTGTACTCTTACTCATTTTCCAAAACCAACTCCTCTAAGAAGTCTTCACTGATTCTCCTGGTTTATTAACATCTTTCTCAGTGCTGCCTTTATATTTGTATACATCTGTTTTGTATTCAAGTAGGGAATATAAATATGTAAACACAGTTACAACAGAATATACATTATTGAGGGTAGATACTGTGCTTTATTAAGTATTGCTTTAATCTTTAATGACTTCCTCAGTGCCTTACATATAGTAGGTATTCAGTGCTTATTAAATCGAATAAACCAGGCACAGAACAATAAATGAGTGACATTTATGTTGTTTAAGATACAGATCTTAAACTCAACTACCTTTTTAAAAATCACATTGAGAAGCAAGAGATGTAGAAGATGTGGGAGAGTGTGTGGAGGGGAGCAGTAAAATCAAAGATCAATTTTTTAAATATGTTTTTTATTGATTTTAGAGAGAGAGGAAGGGAAAAGGAGGGAGAGAGAGAAACATTGATGGGCTGCCTTTTGCATACCCCATACTTGGGATCGAGCTTGAAACCGGAAATGTGCCCTGACTGGGAATTGAACCTGTGACCTTTTGGTGTATGGGAGAGCTCTCAACCAACTGAGCCACACTGGCCAGGGCAAAGATCAGTTTTAAATAGGAGGGAAGCTAAGAATCTGAGGTGCTGCTCAAAAGAACTTACCATGATTGAAAGCCAAGAACGCACATGTGATCACATGGAGTGACAAAACTCATTTGTTTTTATTACAGGAATGCTGTCTTCATTTTAATCCTGGATTTTGCTCTTCAGATATTATTTCTTGATATATTTATACAGTTGTTTGCATCCCTACTTAACATTTGACAATCTGACATCTGGGTAAAGGTCATCTCTCATTTGTTAACCAAGGGATTAGTACTTCTAATTCTGTGATTCTGTTGTTCTGAGGAAACCAGACCATGTTAGCAGGTACTTTCATGGTACCCTGGGTGGGGGGCGGCACAAGAATATTTGTAGTCTTACTTTTGCTACCACAGTTCTTTTTTAAAAAAATTTATTGAGGTGCCATTGGTTAATAGGGTCATATATGTTTCAAGTGTACATTTCTATGATACATGATCTGTATATTGCATTGTTTGCCCACCACCAAAAGTCACATCATATATTTGGCCCTCTTTACAACTTTCTCCACCCTCTTCCCTCTGGTGACAACCGTTCTGTTGTCTGTCTGTGTCTATGAGTTTCAGTTTATATCCCACAATGAGTGAAATGGTTCTTAGTATTTTCTGACTGACTTATTTTGCTTAGCATAATATTCTCAAGGTCCATCCATATTGTCATACTGGCAGCATTTCATCTTTTCTTATGGCTGAGGAGTGTTCCATAGTATGTATGTACTATTATCTCCTTTATCCAGTCCTCTATCAAAGGACACTTTGGTTGTCTCCATGTCTTGGCCACCGTGAATAATGCTGCAATGAATATAAGGGTGCATAAATCTTTGCCAATGTATATTTTCCAGTTTTCTGGTAGATATAAAGAAGAGGGATTGTTGGGTCATATAATAACTCTATTTTTAGTTTTCTGAGCAACTGTCATACTGTTTTCCATAGTGGTTGTACCAGTTTACATTCCCACCAGCACTGAATGAGAGTTCGTTTTCTCAGCCAACCACTCCAACATTTGTTTTGACCTGTCTTGTTGATAATAGCATCTTAACAGGGTGAGGTGGTATCTCATTGTAGTTTTGATTTGCATTTCCCTAACAGCTAGTGAAGTTGAACATCTTTTAAATATTTAATGGCTGTTCGTATTTCTTCTTGGGAGAGGTGTCTGTTCAGGTCCTCTGCCCTTTTTTTTTTTTTCCTTTATTGCTTTCAACGAGAGAGGAAGGGAGAGGGAGAGAGAGAGAGATAGAAACATTGATAAGAGAGAACATCGATTAGCCGCCTCTTGCATGCCCCCACAGGGGATTGGGCCCACAACCTGGGCATGTGCCCTGACCAGGAATCGAACCTGCGACCTCTCGGTGCATGAGTCAACGCTCAACCACTGGGCCACCCCATCCAGGCCCTCTGCCCATTTTTTAATTGACTTGTTTGTTTGGTATTGAATTGTATGAGTTCTTTATATATTTTGGATATTAACCCTGTGTCAGAGAGCTGTTGTTTGCAAATATCATCTCCCATTCAGTTGGTTGCCTTTTTGTTTTGTTGGTTTCTTTTGCTGTGCAGAAGAAGCTTTTTAGTTTAATAGGGTCTTATTCAAATATTTTTGCCTTTACTTCCCCTTGTCTGTGGGGTCAAATTTATAATATGTTCTCTGTGATCCAGGTCCATAAGTTTAGTACCCATGTTTTCTTCTATGTACTTTATTGTTTCAGATCTTATAATTAGGTCTTTGATCCATTTTGAAGTCACTTTTATTCAAGGGGGAAAACTGTAACCTAGTTTTATTCTTTTGCAATGGCTTTCCAATTCTCCCAGCACCATTTATTGAAGAGGCTTTCTTTTCTGCATTGTGTGTTTTTAGCTTTTTGTCAAAAATTATTTGCCCATATACCTGTGGTTTTGTTTCTGGGCTCTCAGTTCTGTTCCATTGATCTGTGTGTCTGTTCTTATGCTAATGTTGTGTTAATTATTGTAGCTCTGTAGTATAATCTGAAGTCAGGTAGTGTGATACCTCTGGCTTCGTTCTTTATAAATGGAGTACATTTTAAAGTGGGTATTTGAGTTGCCAGTGAGTGTATTTTGATTGCAAGCTCGTAATATGAAAATGTACTTTGATTCTTGGATTAACTATATTGTCGGGAAAATAGAATGTATGTAGTTTTTCTTCAGAGTTATTTTGGGTAATGCAGAAGCTTAAGCTGGCACTGCATCTTAGCAGTTAGCTCTTTACTGATCGGGGTTTGGGGTAAACTGGAAAAGTATTTCCTTCTATCTATAATAATTTATTGCTAATGGGTACATGAGCATATTCCAGCAGGCATTAGAAAGAAAAAGCAAGGGACAAAAATGCTCTTTTTTTTTGATTCTTGAACTAATAATTAAGAATGTTCTTTATTTTCAGTAATGTGAAGTATTGAAAATTAAATGTAAAAAGTCTCTATTACCTCCCAAAAATAAGTATTACAAGAAATAACATAATAGCCCTGGCCAGTTTGGCTCAGCGATTAGAGTGTCAGCCTGCGGTCCAGAGAGACCCGGGTTCGGTTCCCCCTAAGGGCGCTTACCTCTGTTGCAGTTTGTCCCCGGCCCTGGTAGGGTTGCGCGGGTGGCAACCACTCGATGTGTCCCTTTCACATCGATGTTTCTCTCTCTCTCTCCATCCTACTCTATCTGAACAAAAAATGGAAAAATGTCCTCGAGTGAGGATAAAAAAAAAAAAAAGAAATAACATAATAAGCAAGCCCCATGATACAAATAAAAGGAGGTAAGTGTCTCCTCTGGCTCTTTATTCTCTAACTCTGCACTTCTACCCAGCGTAGCCTTTTCAGACTAGCTAACTGTCTTGGACCTGAAAAATCATTCTAATTCTTAATTGTTTTCCCCTTCACAGAAAGTGTGACAACCCCTTTATTATAGTTTTTATATTTATATATGTCTGCGTCCTAGCAGTGCAACTATTCTGCATCAGTCTGAAGGTCTTCCTCTTGTACCTAAACTACCCCTCATAGACCATTCATGAAATCCTTACCCTTTTTCCTTGCTGTGTGAGCCAGGTTTTCTTTCCCTTTAGGGGGTGCTAAACAGAAGCAACATTTCTATCTCTTTTTCATATGTAGGTGACCTCCAACAGTTAGTTAAGAAACTTTTAACTGCTTCTTAACACTTACGCCCAGTTCCTTCATTGGCAAAGCTTGCAGGACTCACCACAAAGGGCCTACTGTCTAGTTGTGTTTTCATTGAGAACCAGGTGTCTTCTTTCTTCCTCATCTTATTATTTATCTTGTCACAAGCTTTTCTCAGAATGATTTAATATAATAAGTATTTTATAGAAATTCTAATGCATCTACCTTAAATTAGATTATATAGCTATTTGATGTTGTGGGTGATGCTGTGAATTTGTGATTTGCATGGCTTCAGATGTCATAATTTTTCCCCCCACTTTCTAGGAAGTAACAGCTAGCAGTCGCCACTATGTTGACAGGCTATTTGACCCTGATCCCCAGAAAGTTCTACAAGGTGTCATGTAAGTAGTATGTATTTAAGAGTCTATCAAAAGTCTTGTTTGTTTTCATGTTTGAATCTGCCAAATATTATAATGCTGAAAATGCAGGGTTGTAATTTTTTTTCTGCCATTTTGGAAAGACCCCTTAACAGTCATGACTTTAATATTGTACTGTTAAAGAATTATCTATTGTGTAGTTGTTAACTGACATGGTTAGCTTCATTTTTTTGTGGAGTACTTGTTTTACGTTTTAAAGAATGTTTCCTTTGGAGAATGTTTTGCGACTTTAATATCCAGCAAAAGCAAGAGAATAAAATTGATGATCTTTTATCATTAGAAAAGGTTAGAATAGGTCAGAGGATTTTCTGTTTGTTTTGCTTTTGGTTAACTCATCCACTGTCTGTAAAGTTTGAATATCCTAGTGATGTTTTAAATATTAGAATTTAGAAAGCAGTCATTTGAAAGTTTAAATAAACTCTTGATAACATAAATGTCCTTCTTTTCTTCCCAATTCCCTTGTGTTAATGAGAGGAAACAATTTTAAGTGGCTTGCCTGAGGTGATTATGCTTTTAAAATATTAAGTGTGATAAGATTGCCACTGATTGAAAGATGAATTCTCCAAAGATCATGCTCTTAATACCTTAGTTCTAAGGGATAAGGTCTAGTTAAGACTCTTCATAGGGTTGGAAATCACACAGCACCTAAAAGCTCGAACTCTGTGGAAGGGAAGGGGGACACAAAAAGGGTCCGGATAGCAGCAAAAGCACAAATGAGTCCCTTTCTTCTCTTCCCCTGCTAGTGTTATCAGCCAGTAGTACCTTCAGTTTAATTTTTGCTCAGCCTTGGCAAGGCTAGGAAGTTTTTACTGACTGCAGTTCTTATTCAAACCTCGGCTTCCCTTTTGTCACCTCCCAACCTCCAAGGCATTGTAGAAGGTATGTCTTGGGAATGTGGATTTGTAAATGTAAAGTGGAGGCAAGATAAAAGTCACTAAAGCTACTTGACTATTCAAATTGAGCTGGAAGCAAAAGTCAGGAGCTGGATAGAGACCCAAGGGATACTTGACATCTTATCTTCATACTTCCCAGTTTACAGAAATAGAAGATGGCATTTATTGTTTTCTCATTCTTTGCTTTTGTCCCCTTAAGAGGAGACTTTATAATGATTTAATCAGCCCCCTTTAGACTAGTTTGATTATTACCAGGAAATGTGGTATCAAATCCATCTGTTAAATCAGTTTGGATTGTACTTACATACACAAATTAGTTGAGGGGATAGGTTTAATGTAACACTTCTCCTTAGAGAGGCAAACACTCAACACACCCAACCAGACAATATGTAATGATAATCCTAGAAATCACTAGGTGATTTAATATAACCACCTAGACTAAGAATCACTTAAGATTCCTCAATAAAGAGTATAGTTGAAGATGTCAGACTCATTAAATGCTCAATGAATGATAGAAGATGATGATATCTTTTATCACTGCTACTATAACAATAGCATTTAGGAGAAGAGCTAAGTTCATCAATCAAAGATTTTATGTAAAAGACTTGTATCTTGAGTTATATCTGATATGAGTAGCTAATTCAAGTGTTACTTTTCAATTTCAGAAATATTTTGTATTTGCTAAAGAACATTATAGCATCTTGAAAGTTGATAAAATATCAAATAAAGCATAAAAATTGGCAGGTACACATAACAACCAGTTAAGTAGTTGTCTAGCCTTAGTGCCTTTTAAAAACATATCAAGTCTCAGACACTTAGCTGTCAGCTAAGACAGATAAGAAAGGTTTTGTGAAGGAATGGTGGAGTGGAAAGACTGTGGGCTTTGGAGTTGGTCAACAGTATGTTCAATTCCTGGTTCTGACATTTTGTAGTGGAGTCCTTTCCAAGCTGCGTGCTTAGGCAAGTTACTTAATTTCCTTGAGCCTCAACTTCATCTGTAAAGTGAGAGTAATACTGCCCATCTTGCCAAGTTGTTGTAAGAATTAAATCAGACATACAAAATTCAATACCTGGTATGTTGTGGATACTACAAATTGTTATTCATTAATTAGTCCTAATTTAAAACAACTTCAAAAATAAGGTGATTCTCTTCAGAGAAGAGAAAGGAAAATGCAAATAAAAAATATCAAACAGATATAACAATTCAAACTGAAGGGGGTGGCGCTAGAATTCTTGATTCAGAGAAGAGAATGCGAGTGATAACACAGTAAATGTCATTGCCACTTATAATACTTAAATCTGTTTATAGTTTGAAAGAGATAGATCACCCAGAATCATTTCACTCTATGTCAGAATAGAGCTGGCCTTATAATACTGTGAGGGTGATTTGGTAAAGCTTCCTTTTTCCAAGAGATAAATAATTTTTTTTTCTGACTTTATTCCTTCTTGAACTTTGGCATTGTCTGAAAATTAATGTATAGTCCAGAGAATTGGTGAATTATGTTTTTATTTTTAAGTAACCTTGTCTAATATTGGAATAATACAATGTTGATAGAGGAAAAAGGGAACCAAAATGAGGTGTAGTAAGAGAGTTGACCAATTTTTTCCTTTTTATACAAATTACACAACCACTATTGAGTCAACCAGAGATCATTACTACACCAAAATAGGTAGGTAGAAAGGAGGTGGCCACTGAGTGTAAACAACCAAAGGTGGCCTACTAATTTTAAATAAGGAAAAACAAGAGGCTGAAGTAATAGGCTTTGAATCCAAAATAACCCATTGGAAAGATATAAAATTGTTGACAGCTTAACTGTGAGACAACCAATTTTTATCATTTTTCTAGCTATATTAAACTGATATTTCTCAGCAATATTGTGAACATATAAAACATAGCAGGAAAAACAAAAATTGAAGTTAAAGGTGAATAGTGAGTTTTCATCATGTCCTATAACTAATCTACTCAGCTAAGTTATAGGCATATAGTCTTACCCATAAATGTAGTGGACTTCTTTGTAGATAACATCATAAAGGACCATTTTACCTACTCAGTGAGTATGCCTTTATTGAAAAATACTATTAAGCATAAGAACTGCTTAAATTTCAATTGTTTAAGAATGAGTTATCTAGAGATAACTTTTTTTGTTAGTAGTACAGTATTTAACATAGATTCAAAGGGTCCTATTGTGTCAAAGATTTGAATACAGAATCAGATCCAAGCAAAGTTTCAAATTCATAACTGAATAGAAGATTTTTAGGTATGGAGTAAGATATGAGTAGAGAACAGGGAGGTCACTTGTGTAGGTCATAAACTATATAGCCTTAGCAACTACAACAGAAAATAGGTGTACCAGAGAAGCTATACTGTGTGGCAAACTCTGAGCTTCCTCAAAATGTGGAGATTTACATATGACTTAGAAGAAAACAATTGCAGGATATTTTTTGGTGAAGTTACTATGATATTAACTCACCCACGTTAAACCTCATAGTTGAAGAAGAATAACTCTTCAAATGTTTTTGTAAATCGTGAATCAAAGCTGCTTAAACCTTGTGGTTTGTATTTTTTAAAAAATATATCTAAATTAGAACTCCTGATCTGGTTTTTACATTAATGACTCTCCATTAAAAGATCAGCAGATATCCCTGTGTGGCCCTATGTTGATATTTCCTGTGTTGAAAGGCGAGAAATAATATAAGCATGGCTGGCTTTGTAGTTTCCAAGTTGAATTGAAACAGAAATATCTCTTGTAAACTTAAGCAGACAGTTGTGATAGTAGAGAATTGTTCTGTAGTTTTCACCAAGTAGCCATTGCTAAAAAGTGTCTTCTGAAGTATTTTAATGTACTAATGAAATAAGTTTGTAACTCTGGTTTCAGTAAGATATAGACAGGTTCCATTTTTTTACATGAGCTGAAGATATGAACTCCCTTAAAATGAAGCCTTCAGCCCTGGCCGGCGTGGTTCAGTGGTTAGAGTGTTGACTTGCACACCAGGTGGTCACAGGTTTGATTCAGGTCAAGGGCACATACCTGGGTTGCAGGTTCAATCCCCAGCCCTGGTCAGGTACCTGCGGAAGGCACCCCAATCAATGTTTCTCTTTCACATCAATGTTCCTCTCTCTCTCTCCCCCTCTTTTTATTCCCCCTTCCTCCCTTACATTCTCTCTAAGAATCAGTGGGGAAAAAAATCCTTGGGTGAGGATTAACAAAAAAATAAAATGAAGACTTTGGTTTTAAGAAATTTTAAATTAAAGGATAAGTTTTAGAATAATTCAAAAGAAATATTCTAATAAATAAATAAGAAATATACATGCATATGTGTTTATATAGATTTATTTCCTTAACACTTTTTAACCAGTTACTTTTAAAAGTTTCATAGGTAAATATGAACAAAGATGACTTTAATACCAAATGAAATGGAGTGATTCTTAGTTTAAAACTATGTATTCTGAGAAAATTCAGTCAGAGAATTATGATTTAAAGGCTGGCAAGATTCTCCAGAAATTACTACATCAAATTGACATAGTTTTTACATATAGATAAGTTGTTTGTATATGTGGTGTTTACTTTGCTATCAAGAATATCTGTAATTTGTATATGTGTATACATCTCTTCATATTTCTAAATCACTTACCTGTGTGCTGTCATATTAGTCTATAATGTTCTAACACATTTGGATGTTCTTTGAAATGATTACATATCTAAATATATTTATTAATAGAATTATTAAATTGCATTCTTCATTATTGGATAATGTCAGGTGATTTATGATCATATAATAGTAAAATAAAGAGTTAAATACAATAACTCATAATTTTTGAACAGGTCTTTATACAAATTGGAACTGTATCTGATACTATATACATTTCAAAAATCTACACCATGGGGTAATTTGTTTGTAAGAATGAACTAAATTACTGACATTTCTCAGTTCTGTTCAATTTATACATATAGTAGGTGCATAATAAATGGCTGAGTTGACTTGAAGTTCACTATAAATTTCTCAAGTGTCACCTGAAACAAAGCCTTATGTTAAAAATAACTTTAGTTATTTTTGATAATCTGTTTTAGT